GGGGGTGACTCACAGCTGGTAAATTTAGCGAGGGAAAAGGAAAAAAGGGAAAAAAGGGGGAAAAGGAAAAAAAGGAAAAAAAGGGGAAAAAAGGGAAAAAAGGGAAAAAGGGAAAAAGGGAAAAAAAGGGGGAAAAAGGGAAAAAAAGGAAAAAGGGGAAAAAAGGGAAAAAGGGGAAAAAAGGGAAAAAGGGGAAAAAGGGAAAAAAGGGAAAAAGGGGGAAAAAAGGGGAAAAAAGGGAAAAAAGAGGGAAAAAAGGGAAAAAAGAGGGAAAAAAGGGAAAAAAGAGGGAAAAAAAGGGAAAAAAAGGGGAAAAAAGGGGAAAAGGGAAAAAAGGGGAAAAAAGGAAAAAAAGGGGGGAAAAAAGGGAAAAAGGGAAAAAAGGAAAAAAAGGGAAAAAAGGAAAAAAAAAGAGGGAAAAAAGGGAAAAAGGGGAAAAAGGGGGAAAAAAGGGGAAAAAAGGGGTTTTTTTTTGGGAATTTTGGCGGGATTGATTCCCCCGCCTCAGGGGGGGCGGCGGGGATGGAGACCCCCGGGTGGGGGATGAAGATGAGGATGAGGATGAGGATGAGGACGAGGACGAGGACGAGGATGAAGATGAAAATGAGGATGAGGATGAAGATGAGGATGAGGATGAGGATGAGGATGAGGACAAGAATGAAGATGAGGATAAGGATGAGGATGAGAAGGGGGATGAAGTTCAGGACGAGGATGAGGATGAGGATGAGGATGAAGATCAGGAGGGGGATGAAGATGAAGATCAGGAGGGGGATGAAGATGAAGATGAGGATGAGGACGAGGACGAGGATGAGGATGAGGATGAGGATGAGGATGAGGATGAAGATCAGGAGGGGGATGAAGATGAAGATGAGGATGAGGACGAGGATGAGGATGAGGATGAGGATGAAGATCAGGAGGGGGATGAAGATGAAGATCAGGAGGGGGATGAAGATGAAGATGAGGATGAGGACGAGGACGAGGATGAGGATGAGGATGAGGATGA